GCCCTCCTCTGAACTTGCTCCAGTTTGTTCTTCTTAAAGTGTGGTGTCCAAAATTCAACACAGTATTCGAGATGAGGCCTAACCAGTGTTGAATAAAGGGATGACTGAGGATTTCTTTTTTTCTAAAGCAACAGCAACTTGAGCACACACATGGATTCTTAACTTCCCAGTCCTGTGCACCAACAACTTACAGAGCAACATCCAACCACAATGTCACAAGATTTGTCTCAGGACAGTACAAGACAAGATCAAACTACTGTTGAAGTTGACTAGAGGGAAGCAATCTTTCTTGTCACTCCGCTCTTCCTTCTCAGTAAAGGACAATGTCCTGACTTGATGCTCTTCACAGTAATTCAGCTATCCAAGTCTGCCTTAATATAAAATAGCTAGACTATTTTCTTAAATAATATGCATAGCATCTAGATTCAAATTGGTGTTTGTTTGGATTTTTTTGGGGGGGGGCTGGTGAGAAGGGTAAATAGCACTCCCAGGAGTCACATGATTTTAAGCAGATTACAAAACAGAACAGGAAAAAAATTATGCAAAAGTACTAGGAATCATCACATAAATACAAAAGTGGTATCAGATAGTCATGTTCTAAGATGAGTTCTAACAGCAATGGGTCAACTCTTGCTGGGACAAGCAACTGGACTTAGGCCAGTGGGTTAAGATTTAAATTGCATGTAAATTTAATAGAACATAGGAGATGGTACATTTGAAATTACTTTTGGAAGCCATCTTGTGAGCACAGACATGGGGAGGTATCACAGCAAGAATAGTTATCTGCATTTTACTCAAGGGTGGAAAGACTGTGACCAGTGACTTGTGTGCCTGCTCAGTCAGGTGTCCTGATGCTAACTAGGCATTGGCATCTTCTGGGTCCCTGATTTCCCTATGTTTTCTTTTTCCTCTAAAATTTTTAATGAAGCATGGAATAACCAAGCTCCTGAAGTGCAGGTCACTTGCATTGTCTTACAGCAGCCTTTCAAATGAAAGATTGTGGCTCATAAATGTGGATTTTACAGGAATCTAGGATTCTTTTTCTGCATCTGTACCCAGATAGTTATACTAATTGTTTCTGGCAAAACACGTTTTTTATTGACAGGTTCAAGCAAGGTCAATTTTACCATCAGGCAGAGTGAGGCAACTGCTTCAGCTGGCAAAGGACGGGGAAGCAGCAGAGGTAGCTCCCAGGTGTTCCTTTTGGGTCCCCTGGCTTTTTCCTCCCTGGGAAAACACAGTTCAGTGTGCCATGTCTGTAGGACATTTACCTGAACTTTCCTGCTGCCCTCAGGTGTAGCAGAGGATCCTACTCTATTGCTAGTATTGAGGTAACATTTCATTGCTAGTCCAGACAACTTTTGTAGAAGGAATGGTGGAGAGCATTACCTCTTGGGGCCAGCTCTGGATTCATTTTTCAAAGCACTGCAAATAAGTTAACAGTGGAAAAAATTCTCCACATTACACATTCCAGTCACACACAGACTATTACGGCTTCACCATGGGGCAATTCCTTCCTTCTCTAAAACACGAATAAATCATGCCTTCAGTGTATCATGCAGTCCCTGTTGATTACTGCTTTTTTCACATTCCTGTGCTTAGGCAGATCACGGGAGGATATTTGTTATCAATACTGTAGGGAAAAGAATCCAAGTGGCGTTTCTAACACAAATTTTAATCAAGTATCTATTTCTTGCAGAGCGTAAGAGGCATTAGATATTTTCCGCTCCTAGCCGCACATTTAAGCAGCTGGGTTTTTTTGGCCAGGATGGCAGAATAGTCTTATGACTCAGGAGGCCCCACAGGGTTGTAAGGCTAGGAAAACAATCACTTATTGTTTACGGTTATTTACAAAAAAGCATTCCAGTCGTACAAGTAATCTACAACTGCTGCCATTGTTTCAGCTTTTTGCAAATTGTATAGTAAGTGCATTTTAGGATAGATAAAATTTAGACCTATATCTTATTTTTGAATGTTCTTTGTGTGAAAACTCTTTGTGACTTGGAGGAGCATGCCACCCCTTGTTCTGGCATATGGACCCCCCGCCCTTTCCTGGATCATGCCATCCCATTTTCATCATACTGTTCAACTGCACAAATATCAGTGGGTTTAACATAGGAGCAGGTCTAAGTATAATATGGTCATACTATGCATTCTTGACATGGAATATAAGCACAAGCTCAGTCACACAAATATATATTTCATCAAGGTGGGCAAGGCTATGCACCAGGAAACATGTAATGGCTCCCCAGTGTATGCATAGGCGATAAAATATACACACATAGTGTGATGTCCCAACTATCCCGAAGGGCTTCCACCCTCCTTCTTCTGTAGAGAGCTGGAGTACAACCTATGATATGTTCATTGATATCAGGAGTCAGCATTTGTTAGCTAGGTTCTATTGACTGAGTGGATGGATTCTTGAGGGCTCTTGCCAAGATTGTTTCTAACTGGAGTGCCTCCATAATAAACTCCTTGGAAGGGATTTCACAGAGGGAGACTGTTGAAACCAAGGTCGTTTCTTTAGCAATAGTGTCCACCATTTTCAAGGATTTCTCCCAGAGATAAAATCTTAAGTGGGACTTTCTGTTTTTAATGGCTACCTTTGTGAACTTACAGCAGATCTGACAATTTTGTTTGATGTCCCTCACCTAGGCAATAAAGGCATGAAGTGTCTGTCAGTGAGGGGAAACGTATTAGTGCAGGTAACACACTTCTTAAACTGACCCGCTGGGACCATAAAAGGTGAGAACAGCTGTTAACAGATGAACAAGAACCAAGAATCTTTTTTTAAAAAGATGAAGATGACTGGGAGAGGGTTGAAGGAAAAAAGGGGAATCAACAACAAGGTAAATTGAAATATATACAAATTACGTGGATTATGAGAAGAAATAAAGGCTCTAGAGAAGCTCCCAGACTGCTCTCTCAGCAGTGGCAAAAAAGGAACCCTTCGTTATGCAGTTTCATCGCATAGCGAAGCGTTCGCTATGTGAGGCACCACTGTATATACAAATTACGTGGATAATGAGAAGAAATAAAGGCTCTAGAGAAGCTCCCAGACTGCTCTCTCAGCAGTGGCAAAAAAGGAGCTGAGGATTAGTTACAGAGTGTGGAGCATGCACATGGCATGGACTAACACTTTCTTTAGGCTCTAGAGTCTAGAAGGTTCCGAAGATGCTCATGCATGTACAAAAGGAACCCATATGTGTGAATTCAGAGATCTCGATGAAGAAAAAGCAGTTTCATGTACATATGTGATGATGGCAGACAGTGGATCAGCCAAAATTACAGCTAAAGCACAATTTCGATTTTAAAAAGGGCAGAGGATGATTGTTGACTTACTAACCCACCCGACTCCCTGACAGTGATATGCACTTCCAGGTGTTTTATTACCTTCAAACACACTCTAAAAGCCTCTCCCCCTCAACACATGCATCGGTTTGGGTTGATAATGCACCTGATATTTACAGTGGACCCTTGACTTACTGACTGCTTGACTTACAGACTTTTTGAGTTACAGACTTCTCTGGCCGCAAAATTTAGATTTGACTTGCAGACTGAGATTTGACTTACAGACCAGAAAAAAACCAAAATGGAACAAAAACGGCCTGTTACGGGATTAATCGGTTTTCAATGCACTGTAGGTCAATGGAGACTTGACTTACAGACTTTTTGACTTGAGAACCGCCTTCCAATACGGATTAAGTTCTCAAGTCAAGACCCCACTGTATATAAGTAAACCATCTATCTATCAATCAATCCATCCACAAGGGCTGCAATCCTGTTGTGCAATGTTACATCACATAAGGCTGATAATGTTGCCAGCCATAGCCATTTTTCAGGAATTACATGTTTCCTGTTCCCCCCACCAAATGTTCCCTCCGGTCCTGGGAAAGCCACTGGAGGCTATGGGACATGGAGGCACAGCTTTAATTTTTGAAAATTGCTGTTGCCAAGATGAATTCACCAGTGGCAGCAATTATTAGAAGTTAAATACTGTCACACACACCATCTTGCAGGCCTCAATGGCTTCCCTGAGATGAAAGGGATTCCTAGCTGAAATTTCCTAGGCAGTCTTTGAATATTTGGCTTGGTGGATGACAGTAAACTTTTAATTCCCGAAAAATGGTCATGGCTGATGATGACATCATTAGCTTTACATAGTTTAGCTCAGTGGTTCTTAACGTGGGCGATAATGCCCCCCAGGGGGCGATTTCATTTTTCAGGGAGGCAGTAGAACGAAAAGGGGCGGCGTGGGGGCGCTGGAGCAGAAGGGGGCGGAAGGATGGCGCTGGAACGAGCCAAACCTGTGAAGATGGCTGCAGCCTTTTTACAGTGTGCATGAATAT